GAGGAGGAGGAGGAGGAGAAAAGAGGAGGAGGAGGAGGAGAAAAGAGGAGGAGGAGGAGGAGGAAGAAGAAGGAGGATGAGGAGGAGGAAGAAGAAGAAGAGGAAGAGGAGGAGGAGGAGCAGGAAGAAAAAGAAGAGAAGTAGGAGGAGGAGGAAGAGGAGAAAAGAGGAGGAGGTGAAGAAAAGAGCAAGAAGAGGAGGAGGAGGAGGAGGAGAAAACAACAGGAGGAGGAGGGGGGTCGGTTCTTCGATGTGCAGCTATGGCTGTGGGGGGTCGGTTCTCCCGACAACACATAAGAAGAAGAAGAAGAAGAAGAAATAAGAAGATGAAATAATAAAAATAATAATAATAATAATAATAATAATAATAAGAAGAAGAAGAAGAATAAGAATGTACGTAAAAAACAAAAACCTACAACGAACGTACTTACTGCCGTCGATGGAGCAAGGGGGTAAGTTTTTGGACGTGAAGTGATGGCTGCGGGGCGGGCAGTGCTTCCACTCGCAGTGATGGCTGCATCTGTAGCTGCTGCATGAACGCGCGGCGTCAACGTCGAACAGCACGACGTCGCTACACGACCCAACGTCGAAGGCCTACAGGGAGTGGGGAGTACACCTACGGGGACTGACGACTACAACTACAGGGAGTGAGGCCAACGGGGAGTGGGGACTACCGCCTTTGCTGCTACTTGGGAGCGATTTCAAATGCGGCCGATTGCGGCCACCGATCTCCCAGATCGGCGTCCGCAATCGGCCGCGTTTGAACTTCGAAGTTCGAAAAATCGGGGCCCGTCCGACCCCGCAAAATCAAGTGAGCGCGCGGGGATTTGTCGGCGCATTTACATCATATTGCAGGGTCGGACGGGCCCCGGTTCTTCGTTTCGGTGTTGGCGGCGGCCTGTGGCCAAGGAGGCAAGCGAACAGGAAAAAACAAAAACCCCGAAATCGACCCTCAGCGAAATGCGCTGGGGCCAACCGGGTGCTTGTCGGGCCGGTCTGCCGGCCGGTCCGACCGTCAGGGACCCGGTCGTCCGAGGGGCCCCCGGTCCATCCGGGGACCAGGCCTGTTCAAAACACCGTGTCGAAGAACACTGTCAGCTCCTTCAGCATAACATTGTCATTTTTTAGCGATTGCCTCAGATGGCATCTGGAAGTCAACATGAAACGTGTGCTTTTCTGTCGAAGACGAAGATTTGAACTCGGACCAATACTGCAGCAACGTTATGTGAAACGTGTGTTTTTCTGTCGATGACGAAGATTGAAACTCAGAATGTTTCCGAAGCAAGTCAAATGAACTGAGCTCACCATACTCGGTACCTACCTTTCAAGACTGTCACCCATGATACGTTATCGTTAATTCCCGCCTTTGAACCTTATGTACCAACTGGCGTTACAAGATCTGGCAAAGGGCATGTGCTGCTAACAGTCGTTGTCTGGCATGCATGCCATGCATCCCCCTGCAGTAGTGACAACAGTGTGGAAGCTGGATCGACTGAACTGAATCTGTAAAATCACACTGCTTCTCGCGTCAAACACACTTCATCACACCAAGCTCCACACATAGAGATGCCAATCAGCACAAGACGAAAACTTTTGAAAAATTGAGAGACGGTTAACGGGGGCCCAAATATTCGTCATTTTCGCTGACAATTGCGGTGAGAATTTCATCAAAAATTTTAAAAACAAACGATATGAGACCATAGTGCAAACATCAAAAAAGGAAAGAGGCAAAAAAAAATGAAAAAAATAACAAAACGAAAATTCAAAGTTTGATACAGCAGAATCGCTCGATGACACACACGGATGGCTTTGGCCCACCAAATCACCTCAACCGATACAGCCGCAGCAACTCTAATAACAGGTTTGGTAAAACGCATGTGAAACGAGGTTGGAAGTCTTTTCAACCAAAAGAATTGGTCACACTAACAAATTTTCAACTAGACAGTACGTATTTCTACAGTTCTACTCAATGAGGCAGCCAATGCAGCAAACTACCAGGATCCCAATTGGGGTGAGGGCAAGCCCGCCTCTTGCTAATGTGCTTTGCATATTCGCTGAGCAAGATGGGCGATCTTTATATCCTACGTTTCAAAAGTTACATCTGGCGGGCTTTTTAGTCTTAAGAGTCACCAAGCTTCCGATGTTTTCTGCAAATATTTGTTAACATCTTGATTCAGACAAAGTCCATAACAACAAAAATCATACAAAATTACATTGAGAAACTTGGTCCCCATGAAGGGGGAGAGAGGGAGAGAGAGAGAGAGAGAGAGAGAGAGAGAGAGAGAGAGAGAGAGAGAGAGAGAGAGAGAGAGAGAGAGAGAGAGAGAGAGA